TTTTTTGACGATTGCAGAACTGGCTGCAAAGTGATATCACCAAGATACAGCTTTAAGCTCGGAAATGGTGGTGAATGCGGAAAAGACCGTGTATTCCCTTCTTACCAATGGAAAGAATGTTCTGAAGGAGAAAATTGATCTCCAAATCTGCGGAAAATGCTCAAATGGGACAAGTCACCCACGTACTTGGGGGTAAAGTTGAACCAAAAACTCCAACTCCATAACCATGTACATGCACTGGAACTCGGCGCTCGAGCCACGACAAAACTCAGCCTGATTAAAAAAACTTGCCAGCACCAACTGGGGCTTTGACGCAAAATTCCTGAGAACTCTTTACCTTGTGAGCGTAAGAGTTGCCATGGACTACAGCGTGTCGATTCAGGCCTTTGCGAACCGCACTGCTCTAGAGGGACTGGACCGCATACAGAATCTAGCTCTCAGATTCAAATGCGGGGCGTTACGTACTACATCCACGGCCGCCGTGGAAATTATCTCAGACATATAACCACTACACATCAAGAGGGACAAAGTTATCCTAACGACCGTAGAGCGTTACCGTCGAATGGAACGAACGGAACCCTGTTTCCAACTTCAAGAAGGCTGGGTAAAGCGGACAAGGCTTAATTAAAAGACACTCCTTTATGGATGCCGTCGACTCACTTGAGAATAAGCACCCTTTACCAGGAAATAGGGAGAAATTACGCCTGATCCAGGAGAGATCACCACAGGATAGCGGAGAATCACTCGATATACGTCGGACCCTGTCAAACACGGTGGTTAATAAGTCGAGCCCCCAAAATGAGCAAAAAGGGGCCGCACTAGAGACGATTAAGTCTTATAGTGAAGATATGGTATCAGTCTTTACAGACGGCTCTTATCTCGCTGGCGAAAAGCGGGCGGGCTACGGCGCGCTCATACAATATCCAAGGGGGGTACCTTCAACAGAAGAGCTTTCAGGTCCAAGCGGCACGAACAGCCCTGCAACAGAGGTAGAAGTTGAAGTTATTCTCATGGGCCTGAAACAAGTGCGCCGTCGGCTAGCCCAATGCAAAACATTTCCATCCGTTGTAATGTTCACCGACTCACAATGTGCTCTAGAAATTGTGAAACGGTGCTCTTGAGACACTAAGAAGGTACAGGCAATCATGTAGCTCGTACGAGACATACGGTGTTATCGGAGGGACAGTGACCCTTCAATGGATCCTGGACACGCGGGGATCCCCCTACAAGTCAGAGCTCACTGGCTTTCGAGATAAGGCTCTTCCCAGCCTCAACCTAACAGACCAATGACCAAACTGGGGGTCAAAGAATGGATGAAGGACCTCTTTTAGGAGGAATGGAGGGAAGAATGGGAACATGGTACCACTGCCCGAAAACTTTACCGAAGCATGCCAAAAACAAACCGCAGAGGCGATCAATGGTGGGGTCTTAAACGCCACCAGCAGAGCCTCATCACGCAGATGAGGACAGAGCACTGCCCTACGAGGAGCTATCTGAGTAGATTACATACACTGCGGGTCCCGAGCTGCCGTCATTGTGGACAGGCGCCGGAGACAGTAGAGCATCTTCTAGCTGGGTGCCCAACATTAGCTCCTGGTGTGACTAGGGTGCTCCCAGCCCACCACGTCGAGAGCCTGTTATTCGGGACTGCCCAGTGGATGAGGCAGGCCTGTTCCATACTTGCCGGGGCCATCAAAGAGCAATAGCTCGGTCCCCAACAGTGAATGAAATATTTCAGTAGGCTGCCAAACACCGCTCTAAAAGCTTCTTTTGAAAAAAAAATTATAATAAAACAAACAAATAATAAAATTATTCCAAAATAATGTTTTGAAATAAAATAAAACAGTGACGATGTTCATCGTGAGTAAATGTCTTGCATTCAGTGACGTAGCAAGGGGGGGGTGCGTGAGGTGCAGTCCGCACCGGGTGACACCATTTTAGCGGTGACACCCAAATGAAAATTGCATATTTACAAAGGACACACTGGTCGGTCTAACCGAGATTCATGAAAGGATAACGGATCACACATACATTTTTCACAAATGTAACCAATAGAAATTAGTGCTTCATTAAAAGTTCAAGGTTGATGCGTCAGAAATTAGATTGTCCTATTTTTAGGTCAGATTATTTTCCGTTAATGTTACAGAAACAGCATCCAAATTTGTTACTGGCTTTAATAAGTGGTGGAAACTTAGCCCAAACTTACAAAATCATGTAGCATCGGATGAGCACCTAAGTTGCCTTGAAAAGTGGAAAGCATTGGAAGCAGGACTTAGGATACACAAAACACTTCATTAATGCTGAAAGTATTGCTGTAATGGAAAGGGAGAATAAAAAATGGAGGGATATTTTGCACAGGTTCCTGGATATAACATTGTATCTTGCGGAGCAAAATCTAGCATTTAAGAGGGGAAAAAGCTGATGACCTCAGGTCTGGCGATCTTACAAATCTAAAACGTGATTGACCAGACATAATAATGTTCAGTTCTCAAGGTTACTATAAAGCTGCCAAACTGTCTGGAATCCATGGAGGGGTTCGGAGCATTCTAAAAGGAACAATAAGAAAAGCCTTGTTAAAGGATGTGTGGCCCATTCGCTTAACTTGTGTAGTCAACACTCTTTTGCAGAAAATGCTTCATGTATTACATTTTCCTTCTTTGCTGGATCCACTCACCGATGTTATTGAACACACTGGAATGACTTTAAAAGAATGTCAACAACGCATTGGAATGTTCATCATGTTGAAACAGAGAAAGATGAGTTTGATGAATGTGTGGCGGCCATTGAAGCTCTATGTACCCTCTTCAAAATTTGGATAAAAGAGGTGCAGCACAATGTCTTTTACATGCGGTCTGTGATTTCACGTTTATCTGCTACCTTTACCTACATGAGAAAGTTAATCTTACACAGTAGTATCTGCAGACTCAAGGCTGTACTCTTGACTAAGTAGTGACAAACCTAGAGGCCTTAAGATTGTTTCTGCATGAGAAGCGCTGTCACTTGATGTTGAAAAGGCACTTTTAAAATCGTACCAATATGGAATTTTGGTAGAGAGAAGATGAAGGTTTAAGAAGAGAATGTCAGGTGAACAATTAATAAATGCTTTACTCTCTCTTCGAGAAGAAAACACTAGGGGGATGTTGGAGGCATTGATAACTTTCATTGTAAACTCTAGATCAGATCATTAGCGATCCAGAAAGTAGGATTATATGGTTGGGGCTGAACAAGCCAAGAGTCTAGTGTCAGCAATTGAAGAATAGTTATTGGTGTCCTAGAGGCAGCTGCTATTGAATTTCACAATGTCATGGACTTGTCTGTATTTTATGTTTTGAAATTCATATCTGGATGGGACCTCCTAGAATCTCTTCCAATACTCTCGTTAAGCCTTCAAATATTTCATACGATATGTGTGTCTTGTGGCCTCGTGTGAGCGGAGCTTTTCAAAACTAAGGTTTATCAAGAACTATTTACGATCCAACATGGGAAAGTTAGGGCTTTCTGATCTGGAGCTGCTATCAATTGAAAGTGATACAGTGAATGTCCTTGACTTTGATCAAGTGATTGACCTGTTTGCAGCTTAAAAGACCAGGAAAGGAAAATTTTAAATAAAGTTAATTTTATGAAAAAGTAACTATAACTTATTGTTGTTACAATTTTTAAATATATTGACATCATGACATTTAGTTATTGTGTTTTTGTTCTCGTCATTCTTATACTGTGGACTTATTTTAACAAGAAAAAATCTAATAAGTAAAAAAAAAAAAAAGAAAAAGGGGGGGGGGGGGGGGGGGGGGGGAGGGGCGACACCATGAATTTACCGCACGGTTGACACCAACCCAGCTACGCCACTGGTTGCATTTGTGTTTGATATTTGTGTCTTTTATTTGTCTTTATTTTTTTTTATTTTTGTGTTTTCTATTTGTGTTTTCCATTTTTTTAAAAAATATTTGTATCTTTTAGTTGTTTTCTACATTTATGTGTTATATTTGCGTTTCATTTTTTTTGTTTATATTTGTGTTTTATATTTTTGTTCTATATTTTATGTATTTTATTTGTGTTTTATTTTGGTGTTTGGTTGACTTCGTGTTTTTTAAAAATATATTTGATTGAACTGTTTTAGGATATTTGTCCGTCATCCCTTTTCGAGTAGAGCTGTAAAAAAAATGTTGAAAGTAATGACCGTCCCGATTTCGGGGCTTGATGTTAAAGAGTTGAGGTTGTCAGTCATCCTTGGCCTAAATTCAACATCATTTATGTTGTTTACTCTCATATGTGAAAGAAATAAAATTTACCCCCACGGCGGTCATCTACAGACTAAAATAGGCTAAATATGCAGCGCAATAGTAGCATTAACTTTACTTTTCTTCGTGGGTGGCTTGCTGGATGCTTATCAAAAGTTTCGGATGGCTAATAGACCCACTATCTGTCAATGTATTTTGTGGAAACTTAGAACATAGACTTATTGCCGATAACAAAAAAAAATTTCAATTTTTTTTCTTCTATTTTTCAAAGACAACATGAAGAAAAATTGCCGACAGCAGCACCAAAATTGATTCTCTTTAAAAATAAATCGAAAGTGCCTTTGGTACGTACTTTTCTTTTCAGAAATAGTTGGTGAAAGAAACTTGTGGCTGCCCCATCCAGAACCCCGAACCTACATCCCAATTTTTTTTTTAAATATAAAAAAACAATGAACCAATTTTCCAAATTCGGGCTTACTGGCAGTCAAATGCCTCTATGGAGAGTTTTTGTTTGTTTGGTTGTTGTTGTTTTTTCTTTTGGGAAAAAACGGGCGGGGGGGGGGCGCAAAAAATTAACATCAGTGAAACATCAATCAAATCAATAGCATGTGCTTTTTATTTTTGTTGTAACGGTGATATTACAAATTATAATAAGAGCCAAAAGTTGATTAACATTACGGAATTTTAAAAAAACATTATGCATGAATTTTGGAGTTCATTTTTTTTTTTTAATTTTCAACATTGACAATAAATTAGCAATTACTGAGGATCGTAACCCTCGAAATATGGGCAGGTAACCGGAAAATCAAATAATGACGAGGACAAATCATCGGTCTTTAATAGGTCTGTGAAAAAGACAAAATCTCCTGGAGATAGACTGCCTCCATCTGGAAGAGAAAAATTGCAAAGAAACGTGGAAAAAATACTAATTTAAAAACAAATTAAAATTATTGTTTGGTTTTAAGTAACAATTGGTAGTTTGTAGACCGTTGTCATGATAATTAGAGCACGTAGTCTCTGACACTTTTTTGGCTGATGTCATGACGTTTAGACCATGCAGTCAAAGACTAAATATTTTAAAAAGATTAAACTCAGACCTCAGATCTCACAAAGTTTTTAAAAAAAACGTGTTGAGAAATATCAGTTTGACCAGACGTTTTTATCACATGCTCTGATAGACAAAAAATGGGGTTCCATTATTAAAATATCCCTTGAGATATTTACAATATGGGTAACAAGAGTCTAAGTTTTTGTCAACTATCATGTGTTAAACATCTCATCTGTTCCTCTAAACGCTCAACATCCCTGTCTGCACGGTTCAAATTCGATCTGCACCACTAAAAAGAGCCAGATCAACGAGAGCAGCTTGTTCATTAATTATGGTAAGATTGTTGCGATTTTTTCGGGACGTACCGATAAGAATTTTCAGTATTTTGTGAACATGCTCCTTTTCAGTGTACCACGTTACGGTTGTGGATGTGCTGACAACATCGTAGGATAAGAAGTCAGCTCCAAAAGCATTTCCTTTTAACCGTATTACAGCATTTGCTGAAAGACCAGAAACATATATTTATTTATATTTAATTTAAGCTAGTTTTTAAAAAAACATCTTATATCATAAACGTTAAACGCGCATGATCAGATATTTAAAATGCATGATTTAAAACAAAAACACACACAAATAACAAAAACACGTTTTCTTCAAACTATTGTACATAAAAATAATCTTTTCTAAATCTACTCCTTTCTCGCTCTCTCTCTCTCTCTCTCTCACTCTCTCTCTCTCACTCTCTCTCTCTCACTCTCTGTCTCTCTTTCCTCTCTCTCCTCTCTCTCTCTCTCTATCTCACGCTATCTACAATACAAATGGTAATTTTTCGATATAAAAGTTTGGAAACGATTCAGCCCTGTAAATTCAGCCCTGGATTATTACACTGAGTTTTGACAAGGTGACGGTTATCATATTACCGCCAAATAAAACATAAGTCCCAATAGTAACATGAACGTGCAATAAACACAAAAGGTAGTTGGATAGTTGAGCTAAAAGAAGAACGTGTCGACTGGACGGTCTTCAACACAGACAAAAGTGGACAAACAGACACGATTAGCTGTAGGGGTCTACAGAATTCTTAGGTGACCTTCTATCGGCTAAGTGGCTATTTATGTCTCTCTTTGTCTGCGGATGACAACTTTTCAGTCTAAACATTCTTTGGTAAGTCTAACGACCTCACATGTTTTCGCCCTATCTGTATGATTTATTTCATATTGCTTTGACCTGCACGCTGACCTCCCAAATTACACTAGTGAAATTAATACAAGTTCTCTTACGTGGTATGCAACGTATAGGGATCTGATTACTTCTCCCGTCAACTGTGTTGCATTCCTCTTCATTTGTAATTCTAAAACCTTTTATCTGTTAATGAAATGATGTAAAAGTTTATGTTTGTATATATTTTCAAATAAGGCGAATATTTATATTTATAAATATTTACAAGTGAGGAGAATGTATACATTTGTATCTATTTTCAAGTAAGTTGAATATTTAAATTTATAATTATTTACAAGTGATGTGAAAGTTTATTTTTAATATATTTTAAATTGAGGTGAATGTATATATTTCTCAATGTATATGGTGCCACTATTTCTCAAAATTTGTGGTGCCCTAATTTCTCAATGCATGTGGTGTCACCATTTATTAATGCTGTGGTACTACCATTTATCAATGTGTGTCGCCACTATTTCTCAATGTATTTGGTTCCAACATTTCTCAATGTAAATGATGCTACATTTTATCAATGTATGAGGTGCCACCATTTTGCAAACTAGGTTTATTTATGGGAGGTCCCTGGCTATATGTAAGAAACGAACTATAACACAAAGTGTGAAGTTGGTTTCCCTTATGACGACAACGTTAGTGGGGCTTCTATAAAGAATTATTTCCATTTTATTTCAAATCAAGAGTCAAACTGCGTGAGTAACTTTGAAAAAAAAAAAGTAAATTAAAAAAAAAAAATATCAGTGGTAAAATATAAAAATGACTAATTGAGTTGATCTTGGAAATAAATTTGAAATTTTTTATTTAAAATAAATACAATTGCAGGAAATACCACTGAGAAGAGCAGCAATAGGTCTTAATAAAAGTTAACGCTTGTATCAAAATTAGGGCATTTAAGCTATCGTCGGATGCATTTTTTAATGTCGCGTCTGATTTTGAATGAACATAACAATTTATATGATGATAATCTGCTAGGTTTGTGCTATGGAAATAAGTTTCATTGAATTTTGGAGGATATATTTAGATTACCCGATTGGTTATTTGTTAGAAATTGCATTTAATTTAGCAAAGTGGATTTGATGCTGCAGTTTGAAGAGCTACTTCAGCTAAGACTTCAGCTAAGACTTCAGCTAAGACAATATGGACTTAAGGCTAACCAATGTTAAAACGTTTATATCAATTTAGAGTGTCATTTTTGTTTTAGTTGTAATATCTTTATTGGGTTATAAAATGTAGCAGTGCAGGGATGCAAGTTGGATGGGAGGCCGATACACACAAGCTGGTTTATCGCTTTCTCTCGTCCGTACTAACATCCTGCCAGTTGGTTATCCAAGTGATCCTATCATTAAACAGAGTGACCAGGGAGAAATTAGGTTTATGGTCAACAAATGGAGGAGACAGGGACACGAATATAAGGGTAGAGTTGGAGGCTTATTAAAAAAAATTCTGGAGAACTGTGGAAGAGCCTAGTCGGAGAGCAGAGCAGAGCCGAGACGTAGGGTTAAGTCGTAGAGACGAAGGGGTGAGTCATTGAGACGGGTGGTTGAAGGACCGAAGATCAAGCAGTGGACCAACTGGACAGTCAGAAAAGTCGGGACAGTCCTAGCTGATTTTCAAAATCTTGCGCTTGAACATAATTGCCGAGAATAGAAGTGGAAAGCTAAACATAAACAGTTTCTAAACTTATTGTTGCAGTTCGAGTGAAAGAGTGAAAGAGGTTATCATCCAGCTGAAATAGTTAGTGAGCAGAGACAGAACTAGAAAGACAATTTTCTACAAATGGTGACAAAGACAGAACTAGAGTGAAAATGTTCTCTACATTGGTGGTAGAGACAAAACTAGAGTGAAAAGTTTGTATACAATTGTGACAAAAAGAAGGAAAATAACTAGAGCGAAAGGCTCTCTACAAAATACTTATTATTATCTTGTTTAAAGCATGGTTGAAAGTAAAATATTTTTGTTTCATAACACGTTTGCATGAGCCAATAGTTTCACTTTGGATGATAAGTAATCCACATGACCAGAAAATTGCTTACCCTACACCTAAAATGATATATATATATATATATATATATTGCTAAGAAAAAGAAGAGAAAGAATCTCATAATAAACATTTATCACAATTCAGCATCTCTAAATAATGTGATATCGAACACTTCAGTACTAAAGTGTGCAGTTAAACAGGATTTGCCTGTTTAACTGCACACAGATGAGCACGCCTACAAAATTACGACAGGAAGGATTTTTCGTTTGCTTTTCATTCTTTGGGGGGTTTTTTTAACCAGCGAAATTCTTACAGCAGTTAGTGAAATACTACAATTAGCGGAATACTTACTGCAGTTAGCGAAATTCTTACAGAAGTTAGGGAAATACCTACTGTAGTTAAAGAAAATTCTTAACCTAGTTAACAAAATACTTACGACAGTTAGCGGAATACTTACTGCAATTAGCGGAATACTTACTGCAGTTAGCGAAATTCTTACAGAAGTTAGGGACATACTTACTGTAGTTAAAGAAAATTCTTAACCTAGTTAGCAAAATACTTAAAGCAGTTAGCGAAATACTTACTGCAATTAGCGAAATACTTACTGCAGTTATAGAAATACTTACCGTACTGCAGTTAGTAAAATACTTACTTTAGTTGGCGAAATACTTACTTGATTTATGTAGAATACTAAACGAAAACTCTTGAGTTGTACGACGCTCACATTTTTGGTCCAATCGACAGCATACTTTCCGCACACCTAAATTTTTACCAAAATATAATTTACACGGCATAATTATCGAGTTTTTCAAAAAAATATATATAAAAATTTTTAACTTTTAAATACATCTAACACATTGTACGTCCAATGCATAATGCACACTTATGTCGTAACTTACAGAGCCGTCAGTGCAGTAAAGGTTAGCTTCAAATGTGTCTGGCGAGCAGGAGGGGGTTTG